GCTTTGTGCAGTGACGTAGATCGTTCAAAAAATCGTCGCTCAGGGAAACTGGTAAACAGCCAATAATTTATTCATTGTATCGTAGAAATCGTGTAACGATGAATGTGATAGGATATGAGCCTGTTTGCTTCGCTTCATAGAAAAAAAAAATAGAGAAGCAGGAAGGATGAAGGCAAACAGCTTGACCAAGGCTAAAGCAAATGTCGGTTACGAAATTGAGGGGAGACATCGTGTATCGCAAAGTCGTAGGGCTCGTAACGACACCTCGGCCGCAAGTGGACGACTTGGACGGATTTCAAATTTACAGTCGAGGATGCGAACATTGACCAATAAAGCTATCGATTCGAAGTATTCTAAAGAATACAATGGAAACTGCATGAGAGTGGACTTCTAACAGTACGTTTTCGGGAACATTGCGAAAATAAGGCCTGGAGGCCTTCGAGTAACTACCATCAGGTGATGGACGACACCTTCTCCGGACCCGACAATAAAGTTGGCAAATACTACGCGCGTGTAGGAGCGCCTTACGGCTTGGGGACGCCACATCTGGAAGCAATTACAAGGGATGCCTTGACCTTACTCTCAGGTGCAAGATCCTTTGAAGCGGAGACGGAAACGTTAGTCGGAGCAGGATAGGAGGCTCGCGAAACGTGACGACACGCCGGTTACCGGGATTAGCGACCGGCGCATTTCGGTTTTCCCCTTGCTTGCGGAAGAGGAAAACAGAAGTCGCGATACGATCTCTCTCGACGTTTCGAAACGGTGCACCGTGCGCACTGCCTGTGTAACTGTACACCGGTACGGAGGTGTATTATTCTCCCGGAGAGGATCGCTCGTACTCCGTGTTTTACATCGGCTTCGACGCTTGTCCCCATCGTTAAATATTTGCCACTCAACGTCCGACAAGTGCGCCGAGCCGCTTCTACTGGGTTAAACGTTAAACGCCTATCGAAGCGGACTTAATCGGGAGAGAATGGATCAGCCCGAATCTCGACCGGATTTTTACAACATCAAAACGGAACTTTGTACGCGTACTCCTGCACGATGTTCCTCAACCGAACATGTTTCTCGATTTAAAAATGTAAAAAAAAATTGCACCCGCGACGTCGTAAATCCGAATTCGATTCGCGTAGCGATATTATTCCGCGGTCGGAACGTGCCTCGGCCTGAATTGCCGGAGCTTTAGGGAGAGGCTCTCATCCCGGAGAAGTGCCCGCTGGGTATTTAAGAAGCATATTCCGTCCATTTGGCATTGTGCGCCGTCGAATGGACACTTTCGGGTGCTAGAGCAGAGGGTGCGAGAAGGAGAGACGGACGAGAGCGACAGGGTAGAGAATACCGGGCGAGAGATCGAAGGATCGAGGTATTGATCGTAAGCGGCTTGCCCCGTGGGGACTTTACCTTTGTGCCCGCGACCAGCTATTTGCTGGCCTCGTAAGTTCACACCTTGGTATAATCGGAGTATCCGGAAAAGCAGGACGCATTCGACCATTAGAGACGCGACATTTACACCGTAAGCGGAGATCCGCTTCATACGCGGCACAAAAGGGACCGTATTAAATGCCGATGGTTATGGGAACTATTTACCTGGCGTCTATTCTTCTCAAAGGACATGGAGTACATCGCGACCACGAATCTAGATCGTTTTTACATCGTTCTCGACAGGATCTAAGATCGTAAACCACGGCTGCGCAAAAGAATTTCTCATCAATTTAATTTTCGCTTTCGTTCATTGACGTACTTTCGATAATCGTATTACGAATACGAGCGATACGCGCCATCGAAAGTTTGACGAGGGAAAAGCGCCATTTGTAACAGCAATAGGCGACCACGCGTCGTCCCCGATTTGCCGTTTAAATCCGTGCTAGCAGATCTCGGAGGGGGTTCGTAAAACGTGCCGTGGAAAAAAGTTTGTTTTCTTTGTCGTCGTCAGTCTAGCGCGCGCGTAAATGCGTAATCGTGCACGTACACATATACGTACGTGCGTACATAAGTAGGTATAATGGTATACCAGCCTGTCGTTCCGCGTTCACGGGGGACCTCGGACTCCGTAATGTAAGTTCATCGCGGGCGCGCTGATGCGCGTGTAATCCCGTGGTGCTTACCGATACCATCGTGGGTTTTATTTTCATTATTCATTTGTTCGGCCCGTTCCCCATGGATGACCGGGAAGCTTACACGAGTAACCCCGTGTTTCTATGTTGGTTTAATCAGATAAAACCCCCCGAACGCCAAAAATCGGCGCGCCTAGCGCTAAACCGTCCGCGCGGCTTGTCGCTCCTTCTTACGTTCCACCAAAAGGATAGCCGACCCGATTTTTCAACCCCTGACACCCGTATTTCGTCTCGTTCGCGCTTTCTTCGATCGATAGTCGCACGTTTTCCTAAGCAATTCGAGCTTTAGGATCAAGCTGCTTCAGTTTTATTACGCTGGGTCATCGAATCGATTGAATTAGGCGTGCGAACAACTGACTGTTACGCTTTTTACAATACTGCCGCTCATCGGCTCGACGTCGACGTCTCTCGTTGGATCTTATTAAGACTTACGATTAGCTCGTCTAGCTATCATTCTCGAATGAAGGAAATTGGGTAAGGAGGTACGTGGTTTAAAACGTAGCAATTGTCCCACGCGAATCATAATTAATCATATCTCGCAGGTTTCTTAGTTTCACGAACATCCGCTTATCGTATTCGTAATCCGTCGTTTATGATTAATGAAACGGAAGAAGGAGTGTATGCAAATAGAAAGCGAATAATCGCTGATGTATCTCCGCGATCTCGACGGAGGAGATCCATTAAATCACTGTGCAACGTTGAACGAAACAGGTATGAGCCGACGTTTAAAATCCTACTTTTGCGTCTTTTATTTTCCCACAAATATCGCGTAGAGAAAAGAGGAACGAAAGCAAAACTACAGCGCGGAGATCTCGATCTCTGCTGGAATCGAGGCTGCACTCGCTTCGTAACCGTCGACGCGGCAGCTACTTTTTTTCCGCGTTTCCGGCGGCCTCGGCTGCTTCAAACAGTAGGCGGAATGTCGGAGGAAACGAGAGGAAAAAGGAAACGGGCGAACTATCGGAGGCACGGTAATTAGCAGGTCAGCATGGTTAATGCGAGAGCACGGGCTTAACGAATCGTAATAGAAAGTGCGATGTTTCGAAAATACGTTCTACCGAGCTCGAAGTAAGCCGTACGCGTTTCATCGTTCACCTGCACCGTATTCGTGCCGCTAAGAAACGAAATCGATACAGGTAACCGTTTAACTCCTGCAATCCATCGACGCACCTCTGATTTCTTTGCGTTTTCGTCCATCCGTCCATCCGTCCATCCGAGCCACTCGTTCTCCTCTCGTTTCTTTTTCGTAATCGAAAATATCGGCAGGGCTATCGAGGCGTATTAAGGGAGGATCCCGTAGTTACTTGGATGGAAACATGATATTCTCGATATCCCGGGCTGCCCACGCGTTTTACCGTCGACCGTTAAAATTCGCCTCTCCGCGTTCCTCGCGACGCGTCCCGTGCCTCGGCGCTGGTAGGCGGTGTATTATTTTTCCGCTGGCTCGCCAAATTGGCTCGCACGGATTCGATCTCGAATTACCGGACACTCGATATCGTAGCATAAACTTGCAGCATCCGCGTCCGGACCCGGACCGACGAGAGCCGGCCATATCCCGCTCCGGAATATCCAAAAAGTTGTCCCACGTTGTTCCATTGAGCGCGGATCGGGATAATCGAAGCCCTCAGCCACGTTTTGTTTTTCGTACGCGTCGAACCACCCGCAGTTTCGACCATTTTCGCGTTCTGCTACGAACGGCCAGTTTCTGCGGGCTTTTCGATCATTTTTAAGATCTTGCTTATTGTTTAGCGTAAGATGGAAAGGAGAGGGTGTGGGGTCGGAGCTACGAATCGCTGTGCTTAAATAGGATTCGATGAATTCGCGGAAATTAGCTTAAGAGAATATCTTCCCCTTATCGGTTGACAGTATCGTTCGTGAATTAATGGCCTGTTCGTATATCAAAATGTTTTTGCTACTAATTATCTTCTGTATATTCGCGAGCCTTGCACGTGGAATCGAAACACGCGCGTCATTTCTTAATTCTAGTCGTTTATCGCTGAGATGTTTCGCGCCGATATCCACCTCGGTAAATAACGTACTTTCGATTACAGGTTTATTTTTAAATCCGAAAGCGTTAAAGTCGGTAGAATCGCGTCGCGATTTTCTCGTTGACCGTACGGGACTCGGCTGACGTGCTCTTCCATATGGAACGCTCTCCAACCGTAGCCGTAACCCAATAGGCTTCCCGTAGGAAGATCATACTTCGGTACAAAGGCTGATCGCTACATCGCACGCGATCACGGGGCACGTCATGAAAACTGACGATCTTCATAGCACCATTATTGCACGCCGATATCGCGCTACCTTCTCGAACGAAATGCGTGCACTGAATACGTTCTCGTCGTTATCAACGAGCCGTCTCAACGAATATACGCATTCGGAGACATCGATTTCGTTTCAGCTCTGCAAATTTTTAGAACCTCGTTGCGTCTAACGTGGAGAGTGTTTTGTGCTCGAAAAACTATTAGACTCAACGCTATCGTTCTTTACAACGGAGAATACGCTGTTCACGGAAGTTTATTATATTCTCCGATTCTTTTATCTCTCTCCGAAGAGAAACTCGGTTAATCCGTGTACGGTAACTTCGACTTCGAAGCGCAGTGTACAAAAATGTTCTTCAGCTCGAATTCCCCGCAAAGGGAGTGGCCCTCGTTGAATTTCAATTAATTTTTCTTTCTGGCTATAAAAAAGGTACGCGTCCACGGGGTTGTCGATGCGTGGAATCGTAGTCCGCTGCGATGGTGGCCGCGCGGCGGATCTTTCAGAGGAAATGAGCCATCGCCCGCTTTGTATCCATTCTCTTTCACGGTGGCAAATGCGTTTCGTTTTGCAACCGAACCGGTGCCAGAGGAGATAGGTAAAGGGTTTCGAAAAATACGTCGATACTTGCCGACAATAAAGACGTTTTTATTCGATTCAACGAGTGGCTCCGGCATTGTGAGTCGCGCGCTCTCCCAGACGATGCCCGAGCACTCGAGGGCCGCTACAACGTTGCTTCGAACTTTTTAAGGGATGCGCTAGAATCGATTGTGCCTCTCCCTCCCGCAGGTATTTACGGTTCGTTTTTACGCGTTTCAACGACGCGTGGCGATTTGACACAAAGCCTATTGAACCACTCCCACCGTATACAATGTTACTCGTTAAATCTATTTATATGCGAAGACGCCGTTAATTCTCGTCCGTGCGCGGTATAGAAAATTAACTGCACATATAATAATTGAAAATGCAAATTTACGCAAGACGATCGAAACGGGCAGAAAGCGTTGGTCGATAAACCCTATTTGCAATATCATTCTCTCTCTCTCCCTCTCTCTTTCGCGAGAGATATAAACTTATCTGTAGAGTTCAAGACGTCACCGATTCATACTTTGACACCTCGAGTGCGATATTCACTTTAGGATTAGATTAATTTCTCGTGGAAGCATCCCTGCGAATCGCGATAACTTCGAACAACTTTCAACAATTCTATCTATAAGTATATTGCTGGTTCCTGTGAATTTAATGTTCTTTCGTCTGATCGCTCGTTCGTTCATTCATCGTTTCGTTCACCACCCTCGCCGAGCGCTAAGATTTTTACCAGATCGTTCGAAGTCTCGTCGACGTTCGTATAACTGACCGTGTCGTGATTCTTTCGCCTGATGTCCCAGTCCCAGTGACTGAGCGGCCCTCTCAGTAGAAAAAAGATCGACACTAACATAATTGCCAAGAGCAGTGTCAAAATGCTGGCCCACAAAACTGGACGAAGTACCGAAGACGAATCTTCCTGGCATGCGAGATAGTAACTCGGCACCTCACTCAATTCTTTCCCGGCGTGTTGTTCTGGAGTGCGACACCTGTTAATTCAAACGAAACGCCTTATGAAAATTTAGACGAACGTTTACAAAAAATTATAATTGCTTTCTATGATATTCAAATAGATCTGTTTCATTATATAAAATATAGTCTTCAAATTGAATCGAAGGTATTACGCGGGACATCTCTCTTGAACGCGCCGAGATCCGTCATACGTTCCAGACTACCGATCGTCGTTTAAAATAAAAAAGATGGACTGAATAATCGAAATATTTCTTACTTGATTTGTCGGGCAATGATCCTCGTCTCGTTCGATGCATGCAACCACTTCATTTTGCAGTCGCAATTCCATGGATTGTTTTCTAAATTCAAAATTGGAACTCTCGGTATTATCGATGCAAGATTATACTCTATAGTTTTGAGTGCGCAGTTGGCCATTGAGAGGCGCTGCAGTCTGGGCAGCAGGATTGTTTCGTACGGACGCCATTTTGTCAAATACGCCAGGTTTTTCGATCCGTCCAAAGTGAGTGTCTCCAAACTCGTGAAATTTTCCAAATCGTTGAGAATCAGTTGTCTTAGTTGTCGCATGTTGTTCATTTTGAGTTCCCGTAATCGAGGCAAATACACGCCTTGCAATCGGCATACGTGAGTGTCGGATATGTCGAGCTCCTCTAAATTGGCAGGCAGTAACGGAACGACGCTGATGGGATTCGAAGATAAATCTAGATTGGATAAGTTAGATAGCGTTTTGAACATTTCCGAGGAGAAGTAGGACGCCGAGATGTTGCTGAGATTCAAATATCGCAGCGCGACCAAGTTCCAAAAAGCATTCTCGTGGATTCCTTCGTTGATCGGGTTGTTCGCCAACGAAAGGTATTCCAAGACCTAAAAACATTGATTATTATTCGTAGCTTGCAATGTATTCTTCGCGTCACGTACTTTGAAATGCTGTAACATCGTCTCGTTAACGACGGACAGTTTGTTCCACGATACGTCGAGAATCGTTAGTTTTGGAATTCGATTGTTGAACCCATTCTCGTCAATGTACTCGAGCTTGTTGTGACTGATGTTTAACTGTTGCAAATTGTATTCGTCTTTACAGAGGAAGAAGAAGCGTTGGAGGTGATTCTGGGAGAGATCGAGGGTCTTCAGGTTTTCGAGATACGTCGAGCAGTCGAGGAAGGTGTCGAACTCGTTCCCCCGAAGATTCAGATCGGTGACTTCTGCTAGATTGATCTGCTTCTGGATCTTCGTGAAAAACTCCTCTTTCTTCATCCCACGGTTGGACAAGTCGATCTGAAACATCGAGGTAAGTCTTTCCAAACCATTCTAAGAAGAATCAAACTCTTCAAACAATACCGCGTAATACGAGCACTCATAGAGTGCAAAAGGGGGCAATACATGCAATTTGCCACGATGTAGATGGCAGTATCTTGATTTAAAATTTAAAGTCGCGCCGCGATGCGTTAGTAAAATGGCGATAGTGACATAAGATAGTTTCGAATTGATTGTTCACGTGATAATTGCTGTTGAAAACCGAAAAATTCCGAGTACAAACCCACCACTTTTGGCGGTATCGCCGAAACGATCGAGGCGCAGATTCCGATAATGATCCAGGGCAACATTGTCCAGGTTAGTAGATAGAAATATCTGATGAACGAATGCTGCGATGATCGCGTTGCACTTTCTGGTTTCGTCCGAATCAGTTGCGACGAGATTGTTCGAGTTTTGTCTATGACTCTCGCGTAACAATTTGCTGAAATGGCAATGAATTTATCCGCGGCATACTTTTCCGAAAGATTAGAATATAAATTAAGAGAAGAGCACGAGGCGCATCCTGGTGTGATCCCGTCTTTCGCGAAAGCTTCTCACACTTTTAAATCTCAGTTTATATCGTTTCACGTAAAACGTATTTTAAATAAATTTTCACGTAAATTTTTCACGATCTCTTCAATTTCTTACACTTATTTCGTTGTTCAATAAAAAATGAACACGCGTACCGAGCACCAAGTGCGATTCGCGATCGACGAGCGAGAAGTGTGAAAAAGTTCGCTCGGATAGTCTCGCGGGCGCGAACTGCAGTAATCCAGTTGGCAGTCGTTTAGAATCCGAGAGGCGAACGCACCACTTTTTCGATAAACCGAGATAGAGTCCCCGATCGACGCACACGTTCTCCTTCCAGTCCCCTTAATCACTACATATTTTTTCAATTAATTTACATTCACACCGCGATATCGGCTGGATGTATCCATCTCGCGCGTTGCAACTCTTGGCGGGCGTTAAACGCGAGGCGGTAACAAAATAAAAGAATCGAGAGACAGTCGGGATAACGCGACTGCGAATTACCTTAATACTTGTTTCGCACGCGATGCACGAATAATGTTGTTGGATAGCCAGAAGCATCGAAATATATCTGACAAACTTCCGTACGTGGAGAATAAAAATATGTTGCCAGCGATAATGTCGGCTACACGAGTCATCTAAGTGCGATAGCGTACTCGTAATTAATTCAAAGTTAAAAGGTTTCTACGGTATCTACGCTTTGTCTTAAATACTATTTACTTTTCGCTCCGGAAATTGTTTCGTTATCGTGGGATCAGGAGATTTGGAAAGGGAAAATCAATTGTACGAATGTAATGAACGAAAGGCATTTATTCATTTAACGATATCGCGTTCGAGCTCATGGCACGATGTGCTAACAATTATTTCAATATTTTTAACGCGTGTACGATAACACGATGGCAAGAGGTTGTTCACTTCTTTGGTGTCTGAGGTGTACTCGTCGCTTTGAACACCAACGGATTCGAGACACGGAATATGCTCGGTAGCATCGTAGCTAGAGTACCGAACACTTCCTCCGACATACCCTAAGAAATAATTACAATTTAAATCGAGAATACATTTTCATCGAGAATCAACCGATGATTTACCTTCGGTACTAGGAATTGTAAATTCTTCAATTCGGCACCGCCCCAAGATGCCATTTCTATCATGAACCCTTTCACGCATTTGAAAACCAGTTCTGCTCTTTTTGTACACCAAGCCACAGTCATATCCTGAAACATTCGGACAATAATACTATTACTAATAATAATAACTTTATTAATCTTATTACTTATACATACAAAAAGCTATATTCTCTTAAGTAAGAAGCATCGTACCTCTGACATTTCGTGAACGAGAAGAACAGGGATAGTCAGCGTAGTTACGTCGTTGCAACAAGCAGTTTTCAAAATATTTCGCAGGCCTAAGATTGCCGGATGCCTCGAGTTGATATCGCCTGCGGGTTAAAAAAAGATACTTATAAACGCGAAGAACTTCTTGCTATTAGGAATAAATTACTCGGTACTAACCAGATCGTAACGAATCGTTCACGACCATATGGAAAATTACATGGACCTGAGCTAGATTTGAATGTCTTGTGATATAAACGTCGCCCGTTTGCAGGCTCTTGCTACCCGTCGATCTTTTCGTCTGTAAAAAGAACTTTGTTTATAATTTATGCCGAAATGAATTGAAAGCTCTTTCTATTATTTTCGTTTTACCTGCGATTCGTTTACTTCCTTGTGATGCGCTTGCCTCCAGGCAATGGCATCCTTCACGTCCTCCCGAATTTTCTCCAACTGTTCGTCGATAGGAGGAAAATGAAACTCCGTAGTTAATTGACATATCGAGCATAATTCTGAAACGTAATTATTTTAAGTTCTGCAATTTGATGTCGAATTAATACGGTGCAAGGCAAATCACCTTTAGTTGTCCCTGAGTAAGTTCCCAAATGATTGTCGCTTAATAGGACTAATCCGCACAAGTCGTTGGAATACAATCCTAAAGCCGTCTGCAATCTTTGCGGCGTCGGATCCATTCTATTTCGTGGGAAGAACATTTATTTGTTCATTCGATTTAGAAAAGTGATCGTAGCATTTCGATATGACCCACCCGGACTCGCTCTTTTTCGTCCTACAGAAATCTAAAACGTCGCCCGTTAATATTCTTATATTGTGCATCTGCTTCATCTGAGAACCCAAGTGTATCGTAAAACTCTCCTCCAAAATAGGATAGTCCGCGGTGTTCTTTTCTTCACTGTGAACGAAGTTCTCTAACGCCCGGCGCATCGGTGGCATCGACAGCATCGGAGAACCCCTAACGCGGTCACATAATCTGTAATTATTATCGAACCCGCGCTGTTTATGTACTCGTTTTACTTTTGCACACGTACACTGGAGTCGGTGGCATATTAGTTTGCTGCTCTTCCAGTAACCTCATGATCCAGTTGCGATATTGTCGTCTTTGTTCCAATTTCAACGCGTCGACCCTTGATCCCCAGTGGCCTTGCAATAGACTTTGTTCCTCGAAATGTCGACCAGCCATCTCGTTTATAGATTTTTCCTCCGTGGAACCGGTCTCAAGGTCTTCGACGGCAACTCGCATCTCCTCGGTTTGCCTGCAATTTGCTAATTTTCCATCTTTGCGTTCTTAAAATAACGACGCGTTAACGATAACGAGTCGAGTGTACTCGCAGTAAGATGAAAAGGAATACATTTATTAAAACCAATTGGGAAATTTTAATTGGAATTATTTTCGTTGGGGAACATTTATAGCGTTAGGATTTTTATATAATTAGTTCGCGCTAGTTAATGACCACAGACGCGACATGCAAAAATATTAATCGAGGTAGGAAGGATACGGATTGTATGTAGCTATAAAAAACGATCATTGACTCGAAGTGTAATTATCGGTGTATATAGCGGCCACGAATAATCTACGTAGAAAGGTCAATGCAAGCGATAATTCGCATGCGATGGATCTTGACCTTTCTATTCTAATACGATATCTACATGAATAAGAAAATGACAAACAAGAGAAATTGCACAAAACGTTCCATGGGGTACGATTACCATTGATACTAACTTCTGAGTGAGTTGCTCGTACTGCGTATCTTTCATCTGAATTACTTCGGTCACGTCTCTTCCGAACTTATGCTCTGCTTGAAGAATTGGTTCCAACGAAGGCGAATGTACCAATCTGTGATACGCGGCAGCGAATAATTCCTCGTCTGTCGTTCCCATGGGATCGGCATATTCCGTTGTCTTTTGCTTGTAGATCTTTTCCCAATTCTTAATGATATCTTCGATATCCAACGTTCCTGATTTTGCGTTCTCGATAGCTTTCTCTGATTTCTCGTCGTAAAATTCTAGCGTCAACATTTCGATGGTCCGTTCCAATGTTTGCAACAAATCTGTTTCCACGTAGCATGGTAATTTGAAGGAGGACATTATACGGTGAGTGAGTTCCTTCACCGAGCCATGATACGGTATTTTCAATGGGATTTCCAGCAGATATTTTTGATTCGTGGAGCATGTTGGAAATTGATAAGTGAACGTCTTTTCCACGTAATCTTCTTCCGGCATATTCATATTTTCAGAGATTGCTTCTCATAATTTAAGATTCGAGCATTTGCTATTTTTTAAAAGAGGCAAATCGTTAGATTAAATTCATCTCATCGACTGCCAGTTGTTTTGTCTAGCTGACAGCCGACGGAACGAATTTAATCTAATATTTATGGATATAATGAGTGTTTTTAAAGCGCAACAGAAATAACAAAGGGACAATAACTATAATTTATCATTATATATGTTTCGATTTGACCATATCGGGAGAGGTCAACTATGGTTCTTTTTAATCAACAGTATTTTTCAAGTGTCAGCTTTCGCAACATTCGGGTCATTGATAAGCCCCAGAAACACCTCCGATTGCAGTGTTTATCTGTTCTCTTTTAATAACAATAATTTTCACATATTAATTATAATTACTTTTGATTTGACATATCGCACGCATGTATAAACTTGAAATTACTGCTGTTTTATTGCGGGATAAACAGGATAAATCATTATTTGGGAGAACACCGAATATAAAATAATTAATTTTTTCATATCAATATACGCTACTTATTTACAACTTCCTCATTTCGTTTAGTTGTAGATAATTGCTTTGATAGCGTTTCGTGTAAAGATATAAAGTCGTAACAGTTTACTGTCTCTATTTCATGTATTTAAGAATAAAAACATTTGTGATTTACAATATCTAAGTCACTAAGGATGCTATGTTACAATCACTTAACCTACGTCTTAAAAATAATACTTGCAAGATATTTGTATTTTCGAGGATGTCGAGCCCTGCCCTGTCAAGCCACGTGCCGACAAATCATTGAAAGATCTCGTTTATTTTGTTTCGAGCGAAACATATTCTAAACAGCCAAGATACACGACGATAAAACAATTATTAACACAGTGTTAGGTATCCATGGTTGAGCACATCGTGCAATTTTTAGGCGTGCGCACTGGAAGTTACTATAGTAGCAGTCGAATGATGTATTTATTTTGTCAATTTAAAAGTTGCATTAGATCCCAAGTGCGAAGACAGGTTTGGAATTAAAGATTTTTTAAGACTAATCTTGAAAATAAAATATTACGTTACTTGACTACATGTTACGTGAAATAATCATTTGGTTAGTTTATTTGGACGTACAAACAATTTTTCTCTATTTGATTCATTATTTAGAATTCATTTGAAATAATTTTTTTACTCTATTTTCAATTTGATCAAATATTTTTCAAAATCAAACTGTTGTCTCATTCGTTTACTTGATGAACACGATCGTGTTTTTACGTTGGTTCCTCTGTATCCGATGGTGAACATCAGTGTTTGGACGACGAATTGTTGACAGTAGTAAATATTGATGTATTAAAAGAGATTTCTGAATATGGTCGAGGATAAAAATCAGACTCACGAATTATCGTCTCATGAGGCCGAATTGTACGATAGACAGATTCGATTATGGGGCTTAGAATCACAGAAACGGCAAGTATTTCCTAACCTAGAAACTTCTGCGGTTTACAAACGAACCAGGTTCATCGAGTAACTCCTAACGATGATAATTGCAGTTTGCGAACGGCTAAGGTTCTTTTGATAGGTTTAAATGGTTTCGCAGCGGAGATAGCGAAAAATATTATTCTGGCAGGCGTCAATGCAGTCACGTTTCTCGATCACAGAAATGTAACAGTGGAAGATTCATGTTCACAATTTTTGGCATCCAAAGAATCCTTGGGCAAGAATGTAAGTTGTCGTATTAGGGTACAGGAAGGTGAATCTCTTCAACAGGAATTGTTTCAGTAGAGGGCCGAAGCATCTTTAGAAAGGGCACAAAGTCTAAATCCATTGGTTTGCCTCAAAGCAGACACGTCTAACGTCGACGATAAGACAGATGAGTACTTTAGCAATTTCGATTTAGTCTGCGCGACGCAGTGTACTATCTCCCAGCTAAAGAAAATTAATCTAGCCTGCAGAAAACATGGTGTCAAATTTTTTGCTGGCGATGTTTGGGGATCTATAGGGTACACTTTTGCCGATTTAATGACTCACGAATATGCAGAGTAAGCTACTTTCCTCATGCTTGAATTAGTAATATGTATGGATTATCAAAATTTGGATTGCTTCGTAGGGACGTGATACAAACAAAGAAAATGCCAGTTATAGATAATGATCCCGTGCCTAAAGAGAAATTTGTTAATATTACTGTGACGGAGAAACATGTAGATACTTTTGTGCCTTTCGAATCAGTATTGAACGTTACAAAATCCTCGATTCCCAAAGAGTCTGAAATATATTACATGATGCTGAGTAAGTGTTTAGATAAAATAGTTTTATACCAAAGGAGGTGATACGTAGGCTTGCATTATTTTTCTGTATCGTCTGTAGTAATGCTCAATTACCGTGAAAAGTATGGGAATGATCCACTACCTAGTGAAAGGGATTCCGAGAACTTTAAACTCGAAGCTACAGCCATCATTAAGAAATACGATCTCGAGGATAAAATAAATCATTTAGTAGCGTACGTATCCATAGAGTATGTCGGAGACTTCGTTTGTAATTTGTTCCAAATCGATCATAATCTTTTGTCGATTTAGGGGTGACGTGTATGCACAAATCAGTCCGATCTGTGCTATCGTTGGAGGAATTATGGGGCAGGAGATAATTAAAACTGTCTCGAAGAAAGGTGCTCCGCTCAATAATCTGTTCCTGTTTAATCCAGACACGTTGTGTGGAAAGATATTGAGATTGGGTCAGTAATAGATAGTTCCGCAGGATGGTATGGCATTTCTGTGTACCGTCCTTGGCATATTTTCACATTCATTTTTCTATGTTTTCTAAAATAAAAATACAATAAACCTGTGTCCCAAAAGTATAAACGAATGTTTCCATTTTTCTTTATACTTTACTCTTTAAACCGCGTATCGTTATATATTAAATGCACGTAAAACGCATCTTTGCGTATTTTTCTCGGGAAAGAATATTTCCTTCCTTGGGCTTTCCCGGCGTTTAATCATTTAAGTTCCAGTCAGCTTCAAAATCGAGGCCAGTCCTTATCATGCCGCGTTTTGGATCTGTAATCGTGATTTACAAATATCTATATTCCCATTTTGCTTCTTTTTTATCGTTCCTCCATACACGGCACATAAATGTTGAACGTATACATTGTCTCGGTAAATGTGGTTTATCGCAGCGCGCGCACGTACCAAGATTATTTTTGTTCACCGCGTCACAATCCTCGGAAGCGAGCGAGGGGGTGGTATACGTACGTGGAAATATGACTCACTTTCCCGGTTTCCGCCGGGGCAATTTGAGACCCGCTTTGTGGATTTTTTTTCGTGTCCTCTCGCGTGGAAAACGCGGCGGGAAACGTGAAATGGAAATTGAAAAATTGGAAAAAGGGGGAGCGAGTTGGAGCACGGCTCGTTATACTTTATCGGCCTCGCCCGATATTACCTTCGTTGCCGCGACAATCTCCTTTTATGCTCCGGCATTATTTAAAACGTTGCACCCTTTCGCGCGACATCCCCAATGAAATCCCATTCATTTTTCACCGTTTCAAATTTAATCGACTCGATTCCGCCGCGAATCGCCATCGTATATCCTTTGTTTTCAATTATTTAGATCCACGCGCTTCTCGCTTTTTCAAAGTAATTTCTGTTCCGATATTCCCGGCCATGCGTGTCTCGATTTAACACCCTATAACAGATTCGAAGAGCGCAATAATATGAACGAGAAGTCATTGAACATCGTGTACCGTCGCAAAGTCCCGCGCTATCTCGTTTATCAGCGCGCGTAGGCGGCTGAGAATCGATTCGATTTCCACCGAAGAATTATGATGTATCGTCTTTCCCCGCGAACACGATGTCTGCGTTACGTATTCCGATGATTATCGTGCACGCTTGTATGTAAATGCGAGTGGCTCGCGTGTAAAACCGTTCGTGCGCAGGTATACATATAGACACGGACGTGTTCTTTAACGATGCGGCCACGTGCTTTCACGGTTGTCGGATTATCTTTCGCGAGACGATTTTACTCGTGTCCTCGTCGAAAAACCATTAAGCCGGCCGAAACGTCATCCGCGAAACGGTCACCCTTGCTCCTTTTAATTCGTGATGCTCCAGGGGATGTCGAATCGTTACGCGACCGATCTCCAGTCACGTATCCGCGAGCGAGACCGATCGCGTTGACTGGTGATTTATAAATTTAATGGTTCCACCAAAAGCTCGCGTTCAGCCGATCCATTAAATGTCTCGTGGTTCAGCGAGTCCAGAATAGTCCGACGTTTACACTCCGATTTCTGAACGGAATTAAGTCAACAAGCTCGTAGACGTTAGTTCGTAGTTAGCACGGTCATTCTTCAGTCAGAGCAACGTAGTTCTTATCGTTGCGGCGGTTACACAGTTTTATCGCAGGTACCATTCGTGTATCAGCGGAATGGAAATGCACGCGGCTGCTCTAAAATATGATCGACCGGCGTAGCAATTTAGCCGCGATATTATCCGACGGCAAATGAGTTAGAAGACGTACGGGTACTTCCCGTGAGTCAGGTAAGGTATTTACCGAGGCTACTGTCATTGCCGTGAATCGATACGACGCGTACGCCTTTAGGAATGTTAAACGGCCGCGGAGGCGCAAAAGTACGAGCTCGTTCTCACGAATCGCTCGTTAAAACGGACTTATCGTCGTTTTGTACTGGGCGATAGAAAACGGATATGATTTTGTTCAATTCATTCTGTCCTCGCGGTGTGAACTATGCCCCGTGTTCTTTCAGAGGAGTGGAACTGGTTTCGCCGAACCACTCTCGTTTCGTAGGTGAAATAAGAAAAAAAGAGGGTGCCCCGTTCACGCATCGCGGCTGCACGCGTTGATTTATGGCGCGGCGAAAATTATTGCCGGTGTTAAAATACCTCCGGGCGTATTTATTGACGGGCACGCATTGCCTCCGTGAAACGAGGTGGCCAGACTTTCGACGACGACGAGACTGTACTTAAGTCGACTTCGAACTGGCTGGTCGTTAAGTCTCGCGACGTAAATCTATCGCTAGAAGCTAGAATTTCTTCCGAATATGCGACTTTAAGAGCATCCCATCGGAGCTCCCGATCGTTTTCGAGGTTTGTCACATGAAAGCGAGCGATTGCATTTAATACAATAGAGTTGAACATTTTCGAAATTTGTTCGCCGAAGAGACGAGACAGATGCGTGGCGCCTGGTATTCGCGATTCCAACCGGCGCCGGTGGTGGCCGACTAAAATTAACCTTTCCGGCAACAACCCCTACGGTTTCTCCTCGCAAACACCGGCACCGGCGTGTTCGTCGTTGTTGTCGCGCTAAATCGTCCGTGCGCGTAATATTCGAGCGAGGATCGGTGGCGGCGGCAAAAATTGCGTACGTGATGCAACTGCTTACGACTTCGTTCGTTTACCGGCCGCTTCCTATTTATACCGGTGGCCACAATGTTTTCTGCTTATCAGCGTCTTATAGCCCGTATCTCGTCGCGAGTCTCCCGCCCTCGGTTTATTAACTTCCCTTGGTGAAAAACACCGGATACTTTCCCGCGATTCGCGTACGTTCCTCGAAGCAGAGAAGGCGTCCACGAAATCGAAGGAAGATATAAAAAGGTTTTGATGGCCCGTAGCGCCTGGAACGTAATATTTTTTCGTGGACGTCGGAGGAGGCGTGTGGATCACCCAGCACCGAGTGCATTAACAAAATAACGTAATAAAATCTGCCCCTACGGTCACCGTGTCCTTTCACCCCTTTCGAGCGAACTTCTTCGGGCTCGTTCTTTCTCTACTTCGTTTCACCCCGACGCTCACCGCTCGCTCTTCTTCTTCTTTTTCTAGGTGACCGCTCGTAAAATCCGATACATTGTGCGGGCAGCTAAGGCGAATTCAACGCGTCGAGACGCACGGCGAGGGCACGCGATTGGCGACGGAATGAAAGGATTGACCCCGTGAAACGTCCGACCTCCTACTTCACCCGACCCACGGCCTTCCAGGAAGCATCGATTCATCATGGTGTAAGATCATGTCAGTTACAGTATAAAATCTTTTCTTTTCTTTTCGTACCACGTGTGTCGTTCGTCGTTTTACGTACACGACGTACTTGGTACACTACAATATTTTGCCGATTTCTATTGCGATACAACGTTTCACTATTTTACTTTGATATAATTAATAATGGATCGTGATGCGATCCAAGTTTACGAGCAAACGTCGGAATAGTTCCGACAGCTCGTAATGGTGAACGAGTGACTGTTGCAAGTGCATTTTGGTTCAGACGTTTGTCTGGATCGCACAGAGATAGCAAGGATTTTTCTTGCGATTTTTCTTGTCTAGCTGTCGGTTAGACATGTTAGGTAAGTCCTTATTATTCTTTAATCAAGATACGGACATTACAATTAATTCCTGAAACACCGTTCCTATTAAATCGAGTCTTACTCGAATATAATTAGATCGAATAATCCAATGAGAAATAGATGAGCAAACGATTTCTCCAGGAAAAAAAGAGAAGAGCTCGTTGGGTAGTAGGTATGTAAACGGTAGTAGGGAGGGGTGAAATTGAATTAATATGCATAACCGCGCGAGGTCCGGTTTGGAGAGCGACGGTGATGGAGCGATGAAATCTATCTCCGACGCGCGTCCCGGTGGCCGGAGAACAAACCAGTAATTTGTCAGAGTGGCGGTCTCTAAGCCCCGGCATTATAATTTACGCCTATGTGGAGAGCGAACGTAGAAAGGAAGAGGACAGGGTCAACAGCCCCGAACTGTTCGCGTATTCTTGGCCCTGTACGTCGCGAAATCGATCGACTCTTGTATTTGACGGAGACCATAGAATTACTTAAGAGTTTCGCTACGTAACTGTCGTTAAGTTCTATCCAGAGTTCGTGACGTGAGTCCCGTGGCACGTCCTATGCCGAATCCTTTAAACTACTTATTTGTCACGAGTTCCCTCGAGATAGAAGTTCATTCCTCGGCAAAAAGAAGGGTTCCTCGTTAATTTCGTTACACCGCGTTTTCTTCTTGTAAAAATCCGACGAACGGAAGTCGTCGAATCGTCTCTTTCTCCGCTACGAAAGATTCGTCATGTTTCTTCGCGGCTCGCCGGAGCTTAATCCGGTTCTTCTTAAACTCTATAAAAGGAGCACTCGACGAACCCGGGAAGAGGGTAAAAAGCTCTCGGGGCGAGGAGTGGATAAAAATCTCGCGAACGCATCCGTTAAATTACAATGGGTACGTCGCGTCTTCGCGTCGGTTTCCTCGTACGTTCATGGAAAAGGATAGGAAACGCGTGATAAGTTACCGCGTATACGTAGCGAAAGGGACCCAATGACGTCGTCGGTTCGGTCCATATTTCATGCTTTTGTTCGATTCCGTCGGGCATTATTTTAGGTTACGTCGAGAAATGCTTTCTGGATCGCGGTTTACCGTTCTCTTTCTCTCGCCGCTTCTCTTTTTTTTGCCTTTTCCCCCCTATTTCTTTCTGGCCTCTCCCATCGCCGATAAACCGAAAAGGGAGAAATATGTCGAGCTCTCTGGCTGGCCTGACCTTACGAGGACTCTAATGCAACCCCCTTGTTCGTACCACGATTTCACGCTACACCATCAACACTCGACGTTGTTTGCCTTTTTCCGCGCTTCCGTTTGGACAAATAATATCGGACTACCGACCAGGAATCGCTTAATTCCTAGGTATACATCGTACCCTCGACGTACGAGCAATACGATTCCATTCTCATCCCTCGAGACCAAAGTACCTACATGTTGCACTAAATTACAATAATTTAGATATAAATTAACCGCGTTCTGTTATTTGTCGAATCGTCCGACGTTCAACGTCGACGATGCGAAACAGGTCTGATCCGTCTCCGTGTCTCTCCTCCTTTGGTCACGCGAACGATTGAGACCATTCACCGGTACGATGTATAAGCTCGTAAGAGCGTGTGCCACTTTAAACCATTTTTGCCGATACAAGTCTGACTTATGGCCCGCGTGATTCCCCCGAAAAACGTCGGAGATCGTAAGAACGCGTGCGAGACGCGAGCGAAGAAAAGGCGAATAAGGAAGACGGCGGTGGGACGGGGGATGTGGGAGAAAGAGAGAGGAGAGACATACGCGGTGGCGTCTCGACCGGGACGACCGGGATATTGCATTGTGTTTTCTTTCGGGACAAATGATTTACCGTGTTTCCCCTTATATTGCCGCGAGCTACTACAGCCCCGCAAAAACCCGCGTAAGGGGTTGCGAGAGAGTCACCGTGAGTCGGCGACGGGGCCACCGAGCACGGAGGGACGCCGCGCAGGGGGAAAGGGCGAACCACCGTACGATATGGGACGTATTACATATTTATGGGCTTCTGGTACGGGCACGGAAGCAAATTTCGGGCAAATCTTGCCCGGGAATAACGTTAGAACCATTGGGACGTAAGGCCGCGCGACGATTTCGTAGACGACAAACATTCCTGGGGTCTCCAATATTGTTTTCTTCCTTCGAAGCCGACGGGTTTCGAATGAAACTTGTCGACAATTACGTTACTGTGATTACGTATCGCGAGTTACAATAATCCAGCGGATTTACTTGTTTTTAATAAATCCTGTGTACGTCTTCGTGGCGTATTAAAAAAGGAATTGAGTCGAGGCAACGAGGGAGGTACGTAAAGGGTTAAATAACGTCGTAAATTTCTCCGCGAAAGAGAGAAGTATAAAGCGAGAGGGAAAAAAAAGTCAGTCCTGTTATCGCATCGGTAAAAGGTCTCGTTTCTCGTATTTCATTCCGTGCGAGTATTCTGTAAAACCGTCTGACGCGAGTCCGTGGAGTTGTTGGATAGAACGGCGAACTCATCGAGAAGTCCGCGAATTAATCGCAATGGAGGAAAGTTAACTCATAGGGAATTCTACCGGACGGGCGGATAGGTCGTCGTCGTCGTTCCTACAGCTTATAGAGAATTCTACGGAGTAACTTGCAGGAAATAACAAGCTACCGTTAGCAATCATGTAAATTACCATCGGTGATACATTATTCGTTTCTCATCGAAGAACTCGTACCGCGCGTTCAACGGCCAGGGGGGAAAACTCTTCGAAGCGCGGCGGGCCTTATTTGTTCCTCGTAATCACGATCAACGTCAAGCGGACGTTATCGCTAATAGCGTTATTAACGCGAGGTATAGTCGCGAGTGTCCTCAAATGGAAAAAAAATTAACCCCGATTTCGTACTAGTCGACTTTCGATACTTTATGCGACGTCCGATGTGCCAGCGAACGATCCTAGGGGAGCGAATTACCGAATATCGAACAAATCACTTCTCCGATTATATCAATAGCTTCCGACTTGGCAACTATTTCATGTCGATTCTTAGGAGAACTCTTAGGAAATTCGCTATACTCGAGAAGGCAGGTGACAGAGAAGTTCGGGTTATCGCGTCGTTTCACTTCGACGACCAAGCAATTTTCGATCGCCAAGGCGAAACGACGGATGAATAAGTAAGAAGATATCGAGCCCGGAGCAGTTTGCGTTCACTTTGTAGTCCGTAGAACCGAGTGAGTATCTCGGTGGATGCGTGCGTTGGCACGGTCGGAAGGGGTTGGCTTTCCATGAGATTCCCGCTCGGTGGTCGTGCAAGAGGTCGGGGGGTGGAAGCGACGGGTGGCTGGATACACCGGCACGGGATTTCGCGAGCAATTACGTGATTAAGACGCCTCCGGCTATGCTCGGGTCTACTAAGTACGTACTTAGGTCTGATCCGTTACCGTGCTAACTGGCTGCTTCCTCAGTTCCGTCGCGTTTCTCCCTTTCCATCGAATCTATCGTTTCTCGTCTCTCTTCCTTCTTCTACTATTCGGGGGGTGGAGGAGGGCGTCGAGCGTTTACGCCCTTCTAGCCTCTTGTTCGCGGGCTTCCTTCGACCTCGCGTCGATAGAGAGAGAAGGCCACGGCCGCGTTCAGTCAGCTAGCTGAAACCAGTCGGCTTTGCGCGGCGACACGAGGCTCGGTTTACCGGAAATTAACTAAATAATTCAGGCGACGGCGGCGGTTCGACGCGTTGCGAGGATACGCGCCGTATCCTTCGTTGCTCTCCGCGAATCTATACGATGGAAACGCGGTGGAGGACTCGGGAGCGACCGAGAAATTAAAAACGACGGAGTCCATCCAAGCTTTTATCTCCGGTCGCGGTGTGTCGCGTACGCTTTATGGCCTCGTGAAAGGAGCCCGGTGCCGCGTTAGATATTCATTAGGAGGAACGGACAGCGTGGTCCCGCTCGTCGTTAAAATAAAAAGGAAAGCGAAGTAAACGCGAACTCGCCGGCCGTCGATGTAAAAAGGACAATAATTGGCTGGACGTCGCCGGGTTTAAAAACATTTTACGACGCTCTTAATTAACCAGGAAATCAGAACGCGAGGCGCAGCATCTCCCGTTTCGAGGTCGTGAGGAGACGGAAACGACTCGATGGGGCACGCGTTCCGTTTAATAAAATACCCTTCGTTAATTATTGCCGCGCCTCGTTTTGGCCGTTTCCATCCGTAGAGTCGCCGCGTCTTTTGATGCACTTGTTACAAGCTCGATGCTTTCCCAGCTTTTACGCCGATTCGCTCGTTCTCTCGAGGAAGCTACGTCGTAAAGTACGCGTTAAAACGGCGTGTGTACCGGTTGTTAGTAAAACGACCGATACGATCTCGGACTCCCAAGACGTGGATGTCGGTGGCAATTTTGTAAACCGATTTATAGACGGAACTCGATCGAAACGGAAAGGACCGGCTGTCCTCGTTCTTAGCAACGTTTAATAAAAATCCGATTGAACGGATTATTATAAAGATCGAAGCATATCGTCTGCGTCGTTCCACCCTCATCTGGCAAACTGACTTCGACGCGAGGAACCACTCGGAGCGCCTACGGGGTATACGACGCGTGGCATGGTGTGAACGAGGCCTCATTTGAATCCGAATGGAGGCGATCTTCGCGGGAGAGGACGTCGGCGAAATGGCAGGCAGCGCGAGGGGACGGAGAAAAGCTGGTCGGTCGGAAGAGGAGAGCCG